ATCCAAAATTTATTATATATATAATAATCAATTTAAAATTCTTTTAATTAACATATTATATTATTTTAATTTTTTTTACTAATTTTTCAAGATGTAGTTTTGGTCATTTTACGTATTTATCAGCTATTTTTTACCAAACATGATTTGTTCATTAACTAATTTATCAACCATCATTTAGTTTACCAGCTACCAACTTACTTATCAGCCATCAGCTACACTTAAAAGAAAATGAATTTTACCCACAAAAATCACCTAGGAAAATTTCCGTCGGTGATTACCGACGGATTACCAGAAAATACCAATGTGTCAGTAGAATCTGATATTTTTCGAGAAAATACTAATGGATCACCCAGAGAATTCCTAGGTAATCTGCCCCTGATTTGAATTACCACCATTCAACAATTTACCCATCAATTTTTGTGAGGGTTTTGTGATAAATCACCCTTTAACGATAATTTTTCTAAAAAAAGATTTATAGGCAAAAGTTTTTCATTTAGTAATGCTATCTTATCAGCTAATAGCGTAAGTACTCATTTTCCACCAATTCTTTCTGGTTCAACCCTCTCCCCCTCCCCTTTCCCTCACCTCATAAAACATAATTAATCATGCAAAGAAAATACTTAAAAAGAGGAATAATTAAGGAAATCACCATCTGCCTTTGTACAACTTTTTAGATCTACTTCTTCTTGCATCCTTCCTAATGGATATAAACTCAAGATTCATGTTTGTAAAACAGTCGATAAATGCGAATTTAGTGAAGAAACTGTGTGATTAAAATAACGTTTTCAAGAGTTTAAGGGGGGTTTTATTATTACATTTTTTTTAAATGTTAAATCATATACTTAAATGAAATGATCAAAATACCTTTAAATGATATATAACACTGACACACACACATATTATATATATATATATATATATATATAAATTTAACCACTAAAACATACCGTAACAAAAATTAACCTGAATTTTTGAAATAAACAAATTATAGGAACGACATCAAATAAACAAAAAACCCATAATTTCCAATATTTTGGAGGTTTCTAAAAGAATGTCTGCTGGGGTCTATCGTTGGAGGGGAGAAGCTCGAGAAACAGTTGCATTAAAATGGAACCAACTTTCACTTAATTCTTATTTTAGGGAACCAACTTTCAAAATCATCATTTTGGGGAACCAACTTGCACCTGATTCTTATTTTGGGGAACCAACTTGCAAAATAATTATAGAAAAATAACTAAAATTCGTTTTTTTCCAAAAAATAATGCAATGAAATCTATTTTTCATTTCAAACCTCGTTTTTTTAATTCAGATATCAAATTGAACATTTAAAAAAAAATCTAAATTACCTTAATAAAAATTGCTTTTTACTAATGCAAAAAAAATCAATTTAATAGAAAAAAATTAATTGATGCAATAAAAAATAAATATTAAATATCACATTCAAGATTTTTATATCTAACCAATTGCATCAATTAATTTTTTTCTATTAAATTGATTTTTTTGCATTAGTAAAAAACAATTTTTATTGTGGTAATTTGGATTTTTTTTAATGTTTAATTTGATATCTGAATTAAAAAAAAAGATTTGAAGTGAAAAATAAATTTTATTGCATTAACTTTTGGTAAAAAACGAATTTTAGTTATTTTCCTATAATTATTTTGCAAGTTGGTTCCCAAAATAGGAATCATATACAAGTTGGTTCCCCAAAATAGGAATCAGGTGCAAGTTGGTTCCCCAAAATGATGATTTTGAAAGTTGGTTCCCCAAAATAGAAATTATGTGAAAGTTGGTTCTATTTTGGTGCAATTTTCCCTTTTTTTATCAATATTTTGTAAAATTTATTTCTTATAATTAAAAATACTTAAAATTGACACGTGTTATCCTACAAACTCAAAATGTGAATAAAATTGTATGTTTTCATATATGTAACTTGAAATTGGTACAAAATAAATATCAATATGTATCAACTGAAAATATATGGTACCAATTAATTAGGTCTGGAGTACGCTTGGTTAGTATAAAATATAAGATTTTACGTATTAATTATAGTTGATTGATATATATTATCAGAGAAAAATAACTTTATCAATTCTCGTAAGTTGAAAATGATATTATTAAAAGAGACAAAAGAAATAATGATTACATCAATACGATTTTACATGATCAACCAACAGCATATTTCAATGTCCCTTAAAGAGAAAAACTACAAATGGCTATGTATCAATTAATAGAAGAATAAAACAAAAAAGACGACTTTCGCAATGTATAATTCATATGAGGAATTAAAACCTCAAATTACATTAATAATATGATGCAACCTAACCCTAGTTAAATTACAACAATAACAATATAAATAATACTAACCTGATTCAGCGAAAACTAACCTAGCCTGATGTTTAATTGATCCAGTTATAAAATCTTCAAAACATAGTTATTGGCTTAGAATTGAGTTACGCCGATGGACATAATATCTTTTATTTTTTGTTTTTATATGATTGTTAAGTCATTATTAACATGTACATTAGACAATTACATCATCATGTATCTTTTTCATATACATATATTTTCAATCTTCTCTTCGTTTCTATATAACTTCTTCGTATCCATGTTCAATAAATGTGAACATATTTGTGCAAATTCAGAATAGTAGTTGAATCTAATGTACTAAAGATTAAGAAGTATGAATAAGTTGTATCAATTGCTTGATAATGAAAAATGAATTATGCATAGAAAAAACAACATATTCAAGTTGCACTTTGGTTTGATTTGGATTAAGTTGAGATTTTTCAAACCGCAAAAATTAAGTTGAATTGTTCAAATAACTTCAACCCGATTTATACAACTCATAAACACTCCTAATAACATGTATGTAATTTACTAACCCCCACTAGAAACTACATTAATGTGAAAGTTAAAGATGAACAAATTTAGGTGCACCAACAAATGGAAATAATTGCAAAAGGTGATCTTCGGACCTGGCCTCGACCGCGATTTTAGACAAAAGGTGATCTTCGGATCTGGCCTCGATTGGAGAAGGTGAATCGGGTTCCCCAATGAGTCGGATACAATTACGTACCACACCTATTACTATATGCTTATAAAACCAAAAGGTCAAATGCTATCAAAAATCAGTTATGTTTGCTTAAACAATTTTTAGGTGATCATATTTTAGAATTTTTGATTCGACTTGATTTGATTAAGAATTAAATATGTTAGTTATTTTTTACTTTTTAAACGGAGACTATTCATTGAACTTGTACATTATATTTATATCAACTTAAAATCGAATTAATATGCATTTAAACACATAAAACAAATGTTAATGTGTTACAAATTTTGATTTAAAGCACCATTATGATTTTCAACTAGAGCTCATTAATAAGAGCTATCACATTATTTATTAAAATTTCTTAAATATTTAATTTTAATAGATCCTCTATTTAAATATACAATATTAATTATATTATTAAAATATTTCATTTATCTAACAAAATATTACTTTCTTTTAACTATTTAATTTCAAAGTTTTCTATTGGTGAAAATATATTAAAAATATTTCTCTTAATGTATTTATTTTTAGGATATTCTTCAACTTTCGAGATTTTACACTCTTTCTCTATTTTGGAGAATTTTTTTGGATAATATTTTTGGAGCAAAGAACATGACAAAAATCTCTAATATCTCTATTTTCTTCATTTTAAAATATCTATTGGAGATGCTCCAAGGGGAGGGGGTTATGAGATTGTCACTTTTCCCGGTGTTCAAAAATGTGCGTCGTGACGTCCTTGATCCATGATAGTATGGTGTAAGACGCGTCTCCGTCGTTACGATAAGATTTATATATAGCGTTTCTTTAAGGTGTAACTCACAACATGCATAAGACGTGATTTTTTTTTCATAAAGTTATTTTTTTAGTTTTTTTTTACATTTTTAACTTTAGATTTACAGTTTTGTAGATTTATTTAATCAAACCATTGACAATTACACGAATTCATACACGTCATAGACTAATGATTAAAACGAAGTTTTAAAATTAATTACTTTTCTAAGTTTTATTTTAAATATTTAATCAAAGATTATTTTTTGGCATCTGGCTGCTCCCCTGCTGAGTATGCCTAATATAGTCTATAGTCATTAACTGGGATGAGACTATTAACCTACTTATATTAATTATGGATCTTATCCGTACGACCATTTACTTTGGATTGTATTCTTTTTACTCTTTTGAAACATGATATTATTGATTATTAACTATATAAAAGTATGTCCTATAAAGTATGCTATTAGTTTGTTTAGACATTTTAAATGTCATATAAACCCAATTTTGTCATAGTTAGAGACGGATTCAGGAACTTTTTGATATGGTGTCAGAAAATAACTTTCATATAAATATATACCAAAATAAAAGTTTAGCTAAAATTCAATTTTATGAAAATATGAGATACAAACTACCGCCTACAACTGTTCCCTACGAGACTCGTCTTTTGGAAGTGGTTGAGTACGTCTCCGTTCGTGTTCAAGGCAAACGCTTCTTCTTCTACACAACAAATGACCAAATCATTCAAAAATTCGTCACCTCTTTGATTTTGTGAATCCGACTTGACAAGTTTCATTGACGAAAAAGGTCGTTTAATCGTAGCAGTTGCAACTGGCAAAACCAATGCAAGTTTTAATAATAATCTATATATAAACCAAAGGATACGAAAGATGCTTTGTTGATTCCACATTCAATCTAGCAAGGTCGTTAGTACCAATCAAGCTGGTAAATCTTTTTAATCTCGATGAACAACGACATGATACATATCAAGCTGGTAAATCTTTTTAATCTCGATGAACAACGACATGATACATATCAAGTTGATGCCCAACTTTTATCCTTTCCTTTTCAGTAAAATCGTATGGATAAAACTCAATCAACTTCACTAAGGGATTGTTTACCCAAATGCTTACCCGGTAAGTGCTTACATATAGGAGTCAAAACTATAATTTATTTTGATGAGTAAAATTTTAGTACATCAAAACGTATTGAATGCAACAATTTACCGGGTAAGCGCTTAATTACCTGGGTAAGAGCTTAATTATCTGGGTAAGAGTCGTAATCTTCACTTACCGGGTAAGACTCTCCATCATTCTCATCGCTCTTACCTGGTAAGATTTTTGGCCTTGTCATGTTCATCCGATAAGGAAATTTATTTGGTAAGCATTTACCAAGTAAGCGTTTAGTAAACGGCCCCTAAGTTTGCTTTATCAAAATGATAAAATAAAGTACAAGGACTCAACGCGCAAGTCAATGTTTACCTCATTGAAGCTCCTATCATTTGATATTTTGATTGAACACCGTTGTTTAATTTGATCGATAACTCTGTTGTCAATAAGATTGATCGAATAACAAAGTTGTTGTTTTGTGACTTGTTTACAGTTTTATGATTTGTTTGATCAATCACTTTGCTGTAAATATTGTTGTTTTTTTAAATTTGATCTATAATGTTTAATGCATTTAGATCAAATGTAAAATAGTCACTTTCGTCGTTCAGATTATTTATTCTGTACATCAATCGAACAACAATTTCACTAGATTTATGCAGACAACTTAAACAAAACAGACAACTTTATTCATACAAATTGAACTTAATAAAAAACTAACTGAAAAACCCCTTACACAAACATTCTTAATTAATGTTTATTTCTCTTATATGCAATTGCTATATATCTTATACTTATTTTAAAATGCTAAAATGATTACAAGTATTTGAATTTTTTCATGCAATATGTTGTATAAAAACCAATGAATTTAATTGATAAACATAAATTAAACCGACTATTAACATATACTTAAAGAGTAAACTACAAAATTTGTTCATATGGTTTTATTCAAATTTGGATTGAGTAATCTAAACGAAACAATTACACCTATCATCAATATGATTTTATGGTTTTATTTTTCTTATAAATTGGATCTTTTAAATTAGAAAAATTTGTTAAATATAAAAGAACACTTTCTGTTTTCATCTATTAATTTAAGAAACAATTTAAAGCACCATATTTGATTAGCATTTTCCACCATTGTTCTTCAAATCTTTTACCCATTTTTGCAGATCTAGGTTTTTCATAAAGCTTTGATTTGCATTTTTTGGAAACTGATGTGGGTATCTGAAGAACAACGTCTTATCACTCAATTTTGTTTTTGTTTGGGTAAATTGAATCTAAGTTTGAGGTAGAAAGTTTAATTGGAGATCAACATTTCTATCACCTCAATTTTGCACTTTTGGTAATATGGGTTTATCAAAGTCTTTGTTTGGGTGAGGTGGTAGAGTGTGATGATGAGGTTAGTTTTGAAGGAGAGTTATGAGGTCGGTTGCTCAAACCCACCAACATCGGTTTCAACATCGAGGATTCCTCAACTAGATATTTAGGTTAATCAAGAAAAAAAAAACATCGAAGGTTACTCCTTTCCTCAAATGGAGGAGATGGCCGAAGTGAATGTAGGTGGTGCAAAGGGGGCAGTGCATGGTTCAAGGGGGCCATGTACAAAATCATAAAGTTCAATATATTTCAATCTGTAGTTAAAATGAAAGCATAAGATTATACATAAAATTATTTCATTTAGAGAAACTAATATATTATACTCATTAATTATTTTTCAAATAATTATTTATGGTAAGTTTTTGTTTTCTGGTATATCATCTCAAATCACAAATTTAATGGAACCTTCCCTATTTTGCGAACCATTATCTTTTTGGCCAATTGGTCTCATTCTAATCTTATTGGTTTTGTTTGTTTGGTCATGCGTTTAATGTTTCTTTAATTTGGTGTTTTAAAGAATTTGATGCCTAAAATCGGTAAAATGCAGTTTACACACGTATTCTACGTCATGCATATTAAATTCGTAATTGTTTCAAGTCTCCAAAAACTGATTTAATTCAAAAAAGATGATGAAATAAATCTTTAAAACGTTGATATTTAAACCAATAAATTAAGATATTTATGAAAATGATGAATGTTCATTTATTATTATCTAAATATTTATGGAAAAATTATCAGACTTTATTTATTATGATCAACGTTTTATATTAACAAGTAGATATTCATTGAGTCAAACATCCATTAGACGAGATGGATTGATATGTAGTAATACTATGGTTTGTTAATGATTTGCTCTTCTTATACATAAGTTCCGAGTTATGTATATGTGTTATCCTCACTTTTTGTTGAATAATTCAAGTCCACCCAGAAACGCCTCGATCTCAACTTTCCACTATTTTTCAACTGATCGATTGTAATTAACACATCCAGTTCCTCCCTCAAGATCAAATCCGACATGATTCCATTTCTGTCTTCTGCAAAAGCTCTTCTTCTTTCACCCATCAAACATTTCATCCATGCTGACTTCCATGAAATCTTTCAAAGAATGGCATTCTTCGACATGCTTCTCTTCTTGGTACCTAGCCATACGCATGAATGTTGCTTAAATAGTTCAGCATATTGATCCGATGGGTGCTGAGGATTATTGATTGTTTGTATATGCAGATCATGCATGGTGTTGATAGATCACCGATTAAGTGGCATGGTTTGCCGGTATTCTTGGGGTTGACCTACCTAGCTATACGCCGGCATCTTCATAACAAGTACAGTTTGATTAAAGTTGGCAAAATTCCGGTGGGTGTTCGGTTTGATCCTGCTGACTTTCCGTTTAGGACACCAGACGGAAAGTTTAATGATCCTTTTAATAAATATGCCGGCAGTAAAGGAAGTTTCTTTGGCCGGAATATCCACCCAGCTGATTGGAGAAAAAAGGTGCATCGTCGACTCTACCTAACTTGTCTCTCACTAAATCCTCTCATGACGGCGAAGTACGAGCCACCTTAAGGCTTAAGGATTAGTGGTTGCAAACCTATTTTTTGCACAAATTAACTTCACATTCTAAAAGCAATAAATAAAAGAAGTATTTTCTTGGTAAAGTTATTGATAGCCAAGTTCTGTGTGCAGTTATTGCAGCCAAATCCTATGGTCGTGGCAACAAAGCTTTTGGCACGTAGGCAATTTATAGACACTGGAAAACAGTTGAATGTCATTGCTGTTGCGTGGATTCAGTTCATGATTCATGATTGGATGGATCACCTTGAATCAACACAACAGGTTTAACTACTTTAAGATATATATGCATATATGCATTATATATAGATGGATGGTTCTCCATTAAGGTGTATCTATATCCAATTATGTTTATGCAATCCATGCATATATGTATAACTTTCTAATCTACAATTAATTCAGTATGATGCATGAAGTACTATGTACTAACACATGTTCATGATTGTGGATTCGCATTGCAGATCGAGATGAAGAGACCTACAGGATTGGGCAATCAGTGCCCTCTCAAATCCTTCAAATTTTACAAAACTAAAAAAGTTAGTACTGGTTTATTTAACATCAAAAAAGGCCATCGCAACATTAGAACTTCATGGTGGTATGTACGTAGGAATTAATCCATTTTTCATCCATTTCAAGTCAATTAATAAACACAGTACACATGATGAACCATTAGCGAGTTATTAATTTGAACATCAAGATTTAGGTTTATATAGATATAATTCACTCAAACTTTCTGTTATACGTAAAATAGGAAGTTCAGATGCCAGTATTTTGCAGGGATGGAAGCGCGATATATGGAAGCAACTCCTTTAGTTTGAACCATGTGAGAACATTCAAAGACGGGAAGCTCAAGATCGCAAAAAATGGACTCCTTCGTCATGACGAGAAAGGGTTTCCCATAGCAGGTGACATCCGTAACAGCTGGATAGGTGTATCAACCTTGCAAGCCCTCTTCATCCTCGAGCACAATGCCATTTGTGAAACCTTGAAGGTACATACACTCATCCATTTGTGTAATTAACTATAACCCGCATGATATTCTCACTTTCAAACTACTAATTAGTTGTGATCAGAAAGAATATAATGAGTTGAACGATGAAGATCTGTACCACCACGCAAGACTAGTAACTTCGGCGGTCATTGCTAAGATCCACACTATAGATTGGACCGTTGAGCTTCTTAAAACCGATACCCTTCATGCCGGAATGAGAGCTAACTGGTAAATACGTTGGAATCAATTAGTTAACTAATACTGTTATATTTTATGTTTTTGAAATACAATGTAAATGGATTATATCAGGTATGGACTATTTGGGAAAAGATTCAAAGACACATATGGGCATGTTGGAGGACCCTTTTGGGGAGGTCTTATAGGGTTAAAAAAATCCAATAATCATGGGGTACCCTACTCATTAACTGAAGAATTTGTGAGTGTTTATAGAATGCATTCTCTCTTACCTGATCAACTCTTCGTCAGGGACATCAAGTCTGCACCGGGTTTTAATAAATCTCCAAAATTGAGCCAAAAGTAAGTTCAAATTTTCACATCCATGAAAATTTTATCTTGAATATATCGATTTTTTTACTTTTAAAGATCCATAGGTTCTTATATAATAAGCGCACAAGTGTGAAATTAAATTCAAGTACGATGGATTATACCGAGGAAGTCGGGCTTACTTGAACAAGTTCGGCTAGCCAATTTTGTGTAGTTTCTTTTTGTGTTTATTTATCTTACAAATGATTCCGGTTGATCGAAAAAGTCATGATCTCATGGAGTAGTTTTTGGAATAATTATCTTGCATCTGTAGGGTTGACTTAGTAAATTTGATCGGAAAGAAAGGAGAGAATGAATTATCAGAATTTGGATTTACAACACAAATGGTATCAATGGGACATCAGGCATGTGGGGCACTTGAGCTATGGAATTATCCGTTGTGGCTTAGGGACGTTATTCCTCAAAACGTCGACGGCACTGATCGTTCCAGTCCTGTTGACTTGGCATCGCTGGAGAGTAAATACTGTTTTCCTTTCACTAAACTTGATTTATATACGATAACTATGTAGATTCAGTTATTCAATCTTCTTTCATGTGTCTGCAATTCACAACTGAATTGTGAAATCCAAGGAATGATTATGCATTTTGCAAATTTTTAAACCAAAAAATATTGTGTTTTCAATTTTCCTCATTCCTACAAGCTTTTTATGTATAAAAGTTGGTCCTAACATATGTGATACAGTTTATAGGGACAGGGAGAGAAATATACCAAGATATAATGAGTTTCGTCGATTGCTTTTTCTGATACCAATCTCTAAGTGGAACGATCTAACAGACAATAAAGAAGCCATTGACACGTTGCATGAAGTTTATGGCGACAACGTGGAGCAACTTGATTTATTGGTAGGAATGGCAGCTGAAAAGAAGATAAAAGGGTTTGCCATCAGCGAGACAGCTTTTGTCATTTTTCTCATCATGGCGTCGAGGTTGAGTTCATGACACAATAAGAAAAACACCTAGAGTTGACTAAACATGCACAATAAAATTAAGTTGTATAATTGATTTTTGCATGAATTACAGGAGACTTGAAGCAGATAGATTTTTCACAAGTGATTTTAATGAGATCGTGTACACAGAGAAAGGGCTTGAATGGGTGAATACAACAGAGAGTTTGAAAGACGTAATAGATCGACATTATCCTGAAATAACCAATAAATGGATGAACTCAACGAGCGCTTTTACAGTGTGGGATGCTACCCCAGAGCCATATAATCCCATACCAATTTATCTTCGTATCCCGCACTAATTTTTTTGTATACTTCTTGTGGTTTTGATTTTGTTTCTATGTTTTTCTTGTTATTGTTTTTGCTTGGAGATATAAAGATTGAAGTTGTAGTACTACTGAGAGTTCGTCAAATATAACATCCGTATTTTTTCTTAAACTTTATCATCATAATATAATACGTCCAAGTTGTGTTCAGAAAAATGTAGTAGTTCGGCATGTTAAAATATTTATTATAACATGGTCTTAAACCATTTAAAGTTATACTTAATACATTGTATATTTACAAATCATATCTTAAAGTATACCTTATTGACATGATGTATCCAAACTATAACTAACTTTAACAAAATACCTTTTTCACAAACACCTCTGGGATAAGACAAATTAAAAACTTGGTATGCAAAATTGTAAAAAAAAATACATTATCGTTGCTCAGCACCACCAACGGTAAATATATATAGTAAGAAACTTAATAATATGAAAACTATGTTTAAATATTTATAGATGTAGTGTAAGCATACTTATGAATGTTCATAAATAAAATTATTTAAATTTTAGTTGATCTGTATTATTTACATCTTATTATATGATATAAAAACATAGTATCCATCATTTGAGTGACACACTACACCAAATGTTGCCTTAGACAACAAATGTAAATTGCCTATGTTGATTAAGATACGCTAAGACAACAAATGTTATTATATGTTGCCTAAGTTTCCTCTAATGCAACATATGGTTCTATGTTGCCTAACTGTGACCTTAGGCAACATATAAATAATTCTATGTTGCGTGCATATATCCTAGGCAACATATTAACCTATGTTGCCTTAGTTCAATGTTGAACACATGCAACATATGGTTTTATGTTGCCTAACTGTAACCTTAGGCAACATATAAATAATTCTATGTTGCGTGTATATATCCTAGGCAACATACTAACCTATGTTGCCTTAGTTCAATGTTGAACACTCATAGTTTTTTTTTTTAAATCCGTCAAAGTTTACTTAGTCAACATATATTTTTATACTATGTTGCCTAAGGTAAAAACATAAATCCAACAAAGTTTACTTAAGCAACATATATTCCTATTTTTATGTTGCCTAAGGTAAAAATTATAAATTCAACTCAATTTACTTAGGCAACATATATTCTAGTTTCTATGTTACCTAAGGTAAATATTATAAATTCAACCCAATTTACTTATAAACAAGTTGATGCTTCCAATGTGACAACTGGCAGTGTACGAAAAGATTTATCATAATTTACTTAGGCAACATATATTCTTGTTTCTATGTTACGTAAAAATTATAAATTCAACCCAATTTACTTAGGCAACATATATTCTTGTTTCTATGTTGCCTAAGGTAAAAATTATAAATTCAACCCAATTTACTTAGGCAACATATATTCTTGTTTCTATGTTGCCTAAAGTAAAAATTATAAATTCAACCCAATTTACTTAGGCAACATATATTCTTGTTTCTATGTTGCCTAAAGTAAATATTATAAATTCAACCTAATTTACTTATAAACAAGTTGATGCTTCCAAGGTGACAACTGACAGTATACGAAAAGATTTATCATAATTTACTAAGGCAACATATATTCTTGTTTTTATGTTGCCTAAGGTAAAAATTATAAATTCAACCTAATTTACTTAGGCAACATATATTCTTGTTTCTATGTTGCCTAAGGTAAAAAAATTGATGCTACCAAGGTGACAACTGGCATTGTACAAAAGATTTATCATAATTTACTTAGGCAACACATATTCATGTTTCTATGTTGCCTAAGCTTAAAAACATAATAACTCCTGGCAGTTGAAGGTTTTAAGATTGACATAAGTTTTAAGGTTGACAATTGGTATTGTACGATAAATCTATCACATTTATTTAGGCAACATATTATCTATTGTGCTTGTTGCTTTAGAGCTTTCTTAGGCAACATATATTCTTGTTTCTATGTTGCCTAAGATGAAAATCAACTATAAATATTTGTAGTTCCCCCATTTCTAACATCTAATCTTCATTTCCAACATTTTGTTTCYAAGGGCTTGGGACGTGATTTGGAGTATATTGCCGAGTTTTGTCTTCCAACAAACGTTGTATTCATCATCAAAAGTCATTTAAAGATTATTAGGTAATTATTATCGTATTTTGTCTAATTTTATAGTTATTTTATGTTTATCTCATGTAAATTTGGATTACTACGTGTCTAAAAATATCTATAGCTCTTACTATATGCATGCATTTATTTTTCACATATAGATATGACAGAAAATGTGGACAAAAGTTGGATGAATTTAATAAGATACGAGAAAAAAATACATTTTTGGAATATATGCATTTTTTGAATTTGCTAAAAAGAATTCAGTTAGTTGGAATGGTTATTATAAATGCCCCTGCATAGACTGTGGCAACATGTTATTTCAAAATGAGGCAGATATAATTTTCCATTTGAAAGATGTTGGTATAATGAAAAATTATACTGTGTGGGATCAACACGGTGAAGTTACAAATATACCTACTGCATCACAACGAATGTTAAATATAATACGCGATCGAGCGTCTTTGAGTCACAATGTCAATCCTATTGTAAATTTTGTGGAAGATGCATTTCTGTTTCGTGAGCGGTACAATGATGGTGAATCAATCGCCCATGAGAGTACTCCAGTTTGTGATGTGGACATTGTTGCTTCCAAATTCATTGATGCCTATGCGCGACTGCTAGCAGAAACGAATACTCCATTGTACGATGGTTGTACAGAAACTTCCTTGGGTGCCCTTCTAAGAGCAATTTCTCTAAAAGAAGAAACTGGAATTTCTATCGAGGCATTTGATAAGCATTTAGGCTTTCAGAAATTTTTATTGCCCACTCCAAACAAGTTTCCTAAATCATATGCAGAGACGAAAAAGATTCTTAAAGGCGTTGGGATGGGGTATGAGCTTATCCACGCATGTTTAAATGGTTGTTTTTTATACTATAAAGAGGGTGACATACATGACCAGTGCCCCGTATGTGGATTGCCAAGATATGACGATGTCGGTAACAAAGTACCGATGAAGACTATTCGTTACTTTCCTATGACACCGAGGTGCAACGTTTGTACATGTCAAAATACACTGCAGATCATATGAGATGGCATGGTCAAAGGGAAACGTCCACGTATGATGATGTATTGAGACACCCAGCTGATGGTGAAGCATGAAAAAATTTTGATAGGTAAATATTTTTAATATACTTGTTTGACATGCAATTTCTTTTAACATGGTTATATTTTTTGACAAGTAAATGTTTTAAATAGATTTGTACTCTTTGACACATAATAGGTCATATCCTCAATTTGCGAGTGACCTCAGAAACGTTCGTCTCGCTTTATCGACTGATGGGTTTAGTCCTTTCGGGGCTTCTGCTACTCCATATAGCCTTTGGCCAATTGTTGTGATTCCATACAACTTACCTCCTTCAATGTGCATGCAAAAGGAATTTAATATACTAACGATGTTGATATCCGGACCAAAATCCCCAGGGAAATGTCTCAATTTGTTTATGAGACCACTGATTGATGAGCTCAAAATTCTTTGGGAGACTGGTTTTAGGACATGGGATCGATACGGGGAAGTGTACTTTATGATGAAAGCTGCAGTGATGTGGACTATTAGTGATTTTCCAGGGTTGGGAATGTTAGGTGGTATTCAGACGAAAGRGTACAAGGCATGTCCCATATGTTTGGATGACACTGATGCTAAGTTCTCTCATGGTAGGATGTCATATATGGGAGCAAGTAGATGGTTAGATATGAATCATGAATTTCGAATTCAAGGGAGAAATTTTAATGGAAAGGATGAGCTTCAACTAGCTCCACAAACTCGAACTGCGATTCAGGTTTATAGGGAAACTGTCTTCCATCGATACCCTCGTTTGAGTTTGGTTAAAGAGAAGGAATCGAAACAGGTTTGTAAATATATTACATTCAAAACTTGTATTTACTTATCATATATGAAAATTAAACTAAGATTATTGTTAATATTAGGGGATGAATGAGCCAAAGTTGTGTTGGACTCACAAAAACATCTTTTAGGAACTCCCGTATTGGAAGAAATCTAGAGTGAGACATGCCTTGGATGTCATGCACATCGAGAAGATATCCGTATATGTATATATCCGTATATGTTACGTGCATAGTAAATTGATGTGGTTTTTAGGTTATAAGTTAAGCCCCATAAAAAATTAAAACATATTATTATATTTTTGACGGTTTAAAAAAGATATATATATATATATAATTACATTTTTGACAGAATATATATAGAAATATATAAAGGGCATATATATCTATATATATATATATATATATATATATTATAAAGAAAAGTAAAACTCCATTAAGAATAGTGGGAAAAGGAAGAAGTAGCAGTAGAAGTGACAAGGGATATTGATGGGTTAAGAAGAACGTAAAAAAGGAGGGAACATAAAGGTTGTTGGATTACATGCACATCACCTTCTTCTCTTCTCTTCTCTTCTCTTCTCTTCTCTTCTCTTCTTTTTATATTATTTATGGTTGATATTATAACCATTGGTAAATAAAAAAGAAAAATAAAAAAGAAAAACAAAAAAGGGTGTAATTAACAAAAGATTCAAAACAGATTGTTCTATAGTATTGTTCTTAAACATGTTAGACATTGTTTTTTGTAGATCCATATGCCTCCAAAAAGAACTCAAACGTTTAATTTAGCAAAGGCGTCGGTCTTGGGGCGGACTACGGCACGCCTAGAGGGTGATTCGGTAGAAATCTCGTCAGAGACGACACCTTCCGTCCAACGCCAATTGTACCTTCCGTTTTTGGACTCACCAACTACACCTGCGTTACCAGAGACGAGTACACCTGGGCCACTTGCTCTAGATATACGTATCAATTGTCGCTGCATCCAAGTGGAACCGACGGAAGAACCGGTTACAAAGAAGGCAAAACGAGGAATTATCACCGAAAAGACGATTAAGAGAGACATCGCTAACAA